TTTCCCTGTACTATCACTAAGAGTTTCATCAAAAACAGAAAACCCGTCAACTAATATCAGTCAAAATATAATCAAAAATAAATGGCTAAATTCAGAATGCAAATCCTGTTTACAAGGATCAACACGATAAATATGATATGTGATACGTTAAACTATGGTAATTTAAACATGAAGCTATGAAACCATTGGGACACGACAGCTGCCGCATTAACAAAAAATCCTTCATTGACTGTTAAGAGGACAGTTTTTTTCTGCAACCATAAGGTAGCTCAACTTAAATGAACATTTGCAGTTTTATACCAATACCAAATAGCACACTGTAAGTGGAATTGCAGTAGATACCTTTAAACTTGTCTTTACACTGTACATTCGTGGCAACCGCGCAAGGTGGCCGTTTGGATAAAGAAACGCATCAGAAATTGTGAATGAGCGAAAAAGATGAGTTTGAGGTGAAAATAATACAAAATACAGTGCACATCTCAAGTGAGTCTCTCTAGTCGAGCCGCAGTTCTCAAAGAAGAAATTAAGGTAAAAGGGGGATTTCGATTCTGTACAATCATCGAATAACAATTAAAACGGTGTGTGAAATAATAAATCAGAAATATCAAGAAGTCAAACAGCACATGAGATTTAAAAACAAAAAAAATTAAACAAAAAACTCTTGTAGAACAAAGGACACAAAAGTGCAAAACCTAGTACTTCGCTCCGGACGTACGTTCCATTCGTACGACGTCGCCGGCCTTGTTGATAATGGCGGGCGAGCAGAGCGGCGGCAGCGGCAGCGGTCTGGTTGCAGTGTCACGGTGACGCTCCCTTTCACGGTTATGATGTGGACGTAGTACTCTGATGAAGGCATACACGTTTGTGCCGGACTTTCAGCCGCCTATTGACAGCTTGTCTCGCCGACCACCCCCAACCGCGCGCAGCCCGCGCGGGCCGTGAAGCCAGGATGTTGTGTTCGACGCTCCCTCCCCGCTTCGCACTCCCCGCTTCGCACTCCCCGCTTCGCACTCCCCGCTTCGCACTCCCCGCTTCGCACTCCCCGCTCCTTGCTGCGTACTCCGCACTCCCGCTCTACGCTTCCGCTCTCAGCTTCCGCTCCGAGTTCCCCTCTTCCGCTAACGGTTTCTTCTCCCGTATCCCCATTCCCGCTCCCCGTTCCCAATCTGCGTTCCGTGCTCCGTGACCCGCGCTCCCCGATTCTGCGTGCACTGCCCCACGTGCACTGCTCCGCGCTTTTTCTCCCGGTGTCCTCGTGCACTCCACTCGCTTTCGCTCCGCGCTTTCGCTCATTGCTTCTGCTCCCCGCTTTTGCTCCCCGCTTTTGCTCTCCGCTTTTGCTCCCCACTTTTGCTCCCCGCTTCTCGTTACCAGCTTCGCGCACCCGTTCCTCGTTCCGTGATACCCGCTCGGCTCAACGCCTGCCTCCTCCCTGCTTGTTCTCCGTCGTCCGTTAGACATTAGGAGAGCAACGCCTCGCTGAATACAGTTGCAGCAGAATGTAAACAATTGTAAGTATGGTATATTTCTTAATTCATTTTCATTCTACTAACAACGTTTTTCAAGCAAATATTTTTAGCTTTCACACAAGCGTTATACAATTTTTTTTTCTCAAACTCAAATTGAAACTATTTTCAATAGAATAGGTAGAACGGACATGAAGATTTATATATACAGTCGTTAAGACACTTATCTTCAAATTGTTCATAAATTAAATTAATTTAAGAAAATAAATTAAATTAAGAAAATTGAAAGTAATGTATATATTAAACAAATATTTCTATACATAAACTTAATTGAAAAATTAGTCCATTTACTTTCTCAAACATCTCTATTAAAATACATTCTGAAACTGTTCTTGACACAGTAGGGTTTTCGTTGTAACATGCGCCCTGCCAGTGACACAAACAAAAATGGATAATTGAGAATAATAATGTATTGAGTCATTAGTAATTTTAAATACTCTTATACGTGACGATTAGAATAAAGTGGCAATTATAACAAACGAAACTATTGAGGGATTCAGAGAAACAGCAACAATATTATAGTAGAGAGTGTGAGGTTGAAATTATTTAAATACAATAAAATTAAACAAAAATATTTTCAAATATTAAAAATTATCTATACTTAAATATAAAAATAATAAATGAACTTCCATATTATCGAGGGAAAAAAGAAAACAAACGCAAAATATATACAGATCTCACGTTCTTGTAAATCAGTCCAATTTGTGTTCAAGTTTGCATAGAACACACAACAATGTCCCGAAAAAAACTTTGTAATAATTTCTGTGGAAGTTTTATGAAGAGAAGGAATTCATTTCATTGTAAATTGTAGTTTTCTGAAGATATAATGCTGATCCTAAAGTGGTATAAAACTTATTACTACGCCATGTTTACTGTTTGGCAATGCAGAGATACGAACCTGGACAAACGAATCCCCACGATTAAATATCTTTTTTGCAAATGAAGTAATTCGTAAATTAGATACAGCCAGTGACAGTAAATGTTAATTTTACCAATTATGAATACTTTCCTAAATGTACGTATAATAATAACAAAATATTATTATATTATTATTACTATTATTATATGTGGAATAAAACAAATGTGAAAAATTAGTTTCCTCTTGTTTTCAATTTTTGGTTTTGATCCTTACTTCGCTCCCATCAATCGTTTCATTTCGTCGGCATGAAATTCGCCCACCAATGCATTCATGATTATCCAGTTTGAAACCATTCGAACAGTAAGCGCCGCACTTTCGTCAAAGAGAAATGCATCCAACTGCAGCTCTCGTGGTGAGTATGAGCAAGCAAAGTCCCGTTTACTGCTGTGATTGGCAGCAATGTTAAAAGGATATGGATTTCGAAGTTGCACATGACTGCAGCTCACGGGAGGCAGCGAGAGTACTTTGAATAACTCGCGTGGTTATTATATTATTTGGAACATAATAATACACACATATGAGTCATAAATTAATTGCATACTATGTATCGATTGATTTAGTATATTTTTGAGCAGAACTATTCGTTTGAAATATTACTCTACGTTAATAATATCCAGAAAACGTTTTCTCATATTCCGGCTGAAATGTGCGGTAGAAACTTTGCAAATATATAACAACACTTCGAAAGGTCTTCAGTTCCTTACGGTGGAGGTTTTGACCCCAGCGAGTCAATGAGTCGATTATGTCCCTTCCTATATTACATGTTTAAACGCATGTGGCTTTAATTGGTTTGTTTCGCAGTTATGTCGACTCAACGTTAACAATGCCCTGTACGTTATATTTTCGTACCCATTCGGTATCAATTCCTCCTCGTCGATCATCGAACTAAAAGCAAAAATCTTCTCCTTGGAATCTATATATAAATCGATCAAAACATTTAGAAATTATCTCATATCTGATATAAAAAAGTTTCTTTTTCAATTAAGGAGAGCGAAGGCGACAAAGTACATGGTAAAGTACAATTTGTATATTGACAAATTGAGTCAGAGGCGCTCGTTATAATTTTAGGGTTTCGGGACTATAACACTGTATTTCTGTATTTTTTGATAGCCAGAAAAAAACACAATGTGAGCAAATCCATATATTTCTCTATTCGTGTACTTACTTCTTTCTGAATAGAAACAAGTTTTGTAGTTATATGGACACGTTTTTACAGCAGTTAGGTAATAATGTTTGTTTTGTAGGAAATTCTGAGGCGTTTCTTTGGAAGTGTGAAATAGACATTAGAGAAACACTCTAATGTCGTTTTCACCCGACACCATTAATTGATCAATATCGTCAGCCGTGTGGTCCAAATAAAGTAATATTTTCCATAATTTAAAAAAATGCAAGTTAAATTTATTGATGAACAATCAATACTAAAAATAACTGCAATCTTGTCTGAAGATCGTACTACAAATATTCATGTGTAAATGCTTCACTGAATGTTCATTATTAGCAAGTAAACATTTTAGCCGCGCAAATGATCATTACGTTAGAATTTCTATGAACGAACTACTCAATTCGTTGAGATAAAAACCTTTCAAGAAAATATTAAATTACATTTATAGTTTACATCACATTCCATCCATCCATTCCATTCCAGAAGAAAATTTGCATTTTATTTTAAACATGTCTACGAATTTATTCTTTTACTTCCTTGTCGTGAAATGAAATGGACGAAAAAAACAATGACAAAAAACTTTTTTATATTTCACAAATGGTATACTTTATTTCATTTTACGCACTCATATGTACGAATTATTATACAAAGAAACTCAAAATAAAGGGTGCTGAATTTTCTGGCGAATCATTGTGAAAGCATGAGTGAGAAATGTATTTTCTCTATTGGGCTATAAAGAACAACAAATTGGGAGAAACTAAATTACTTATGATGAACAGGCTACGTGAGGCTTATTTTAAGTGTAATTCGTGAAATATTATTCGTGTTCATTCTATGTATCCCACCGAATAGCATTGAGTCTGATACTTGAATATCGATGTGCTATTCTCCCATCGGAGGAGGACAGTGCCGCATCGCGGAGTGAAAAGATTCGTAGCAGCGCCACGCCCGTACCAGAGGCATCCCCAGCAGCCGCGCTCAAAAGATTTCTCGTGCACATCGTGATCTTGAATTCAACCGACATTCTCGCTTTGTGGACTGGATCTCTATATTCTACTACCTTTTGCATGGTATCTCCACCTTATTCTACTACCTGCTTCCTATGAAGAATTTGCCATGACTAACTGCGCGACTTCACCTTTCTCGTCTAACTTCCAACTACCTCTGTTTTCGCTAGTTGTAGTAAGAGGAGAGCCAGGGATGTGGGTTGCGATATTGATAACAGTACTGCAATATTAAATGTGATTCGTTTACCGTTGAAACTAAGTTTTCTATTTCAGGGGAGCGAAAATGTCTAGTTTTCAAATATTCCTGAATACGCTTTGTCGGTACTCTTAATTATCATTCATAAGGACGAGGAAGAGATCCAAGAAAACGTGCGCATATACATCTACCCATATGTCACATTTTTAATGTTATTGACGAAAGTAAAACCAATTGAATCAAACTTAAAATCATTCTTCAATTTGTTTATACGGCTGTACCTTACTACGGAAACGTGCTCGACATAGAATTTTTTTTCTTTGAACATGGTTAATCCACTACCACCATACGCGCGAATTATTTTTGTGATCAATAACACATCAGATAAAATGGTACAGACTGTATTATATATTTAGGTCAAAAAACATTACCAGACCTACTATATCTCTAGATGGTCGATTGGGCTTTTCACATAGTGAACGCAATGAGATTCAAATAATGCAGCAGACAGTATGAATATTTTCATATTCAAGATCGAAACGCTTTTAATTTAAATTAAAGTCGTACCTGGTTGTTTTCGCAAAGCAGGAACACAACAGAAACGGTAATACCTGCTGCAATTCGAACACGGGAATACTTGCATCGGACGCCCATTTTAGTACGTCATGTAATTAAGGGAAACTTCACTAGAAAACAAATGACACACGAAAGTTCTGATACATTTCAAAATTTGACAGTAGTGATTTGTTTTGCGATGAAAAATAATCAAACCAGAAGATACCCATATCAAAATAAATAGTTTTGTAAATTGTTCAGAAGTAGATGTCAAAGATTATCTGACTGATATTAAATTAATATTACTTATAGAACAAAATTAGGAGTCCTCCAGAACTAAATCGCCTCACACATTTTTTCCTGCACCGCCCAGATTTTTGTTTATCGCCACATCACCGGCATTCACCAAAACATATCGCCACACGCATCACGGCTTGTCGTTGGTCGCACATTAATCGCAATCACTGTCTCAATTATCACCTTTCGCTATCCACTGCAAGGTTCGGCCGTGCAAGTCAATCACCACTTGGCGCCGTTCTCTTTTGGGCACTCCCCGACCAACTGTCGTTTACGTCACTCATCGTTAAGTCTTCAGAGTGCGCGCCCTAGTTCCCGCATCACGTTATCCACCACATTCATCATTCGTGACTCTCATTCCCCTCAACTCTTGTATCCGAATCTTCAACACTACTGCCGTCCTTTGTCCTCTTGCTCCCTCACCACTCTCATTATACACACACACGTAGTTCACATCACTGACTAGACCTTCTCCTCACCACCATACACGTATAATTCATCATCGCGTCACTCTTCATTTGATGCGCACACATTTGCTTCTAATTAAATTTTCTTTTCCTCAATTCAGCACACACGGCTCTAACTCCCGCGTCCGGTGTCACTGAAAGGAATGTATGGTTAAGAAATAAAAAACAAGCAGTTTTTCTGCGAAGGAAAATGAATCGATTTTAAGAAAATGAAACGGTAAAAAATCACAAATAATAATCTTATCAAATAATTATAATAACAAATCTAGATTTTCTACTAACATTTTAACTTTTTTTGACTTTCTGTTGAGTGGTTTTCATACAACAAATTCAATGCCCTACTTTAGGTAACTGAGAGTGAATAAAAATATTCCCATGAATATTTCTTCAAAGTAATTAAAAATAATCATGTTCATTTAACTTTATGATAATATTCACCGTTTTTAATTTAGAAAATGGGTATAATGGTTTAAGGCGCAAGAGTCTGCCAAATTTATCTCGAAGGCGCCATGTAATTCCCATCTTCATGTCATCCCTGCTCACATGTCTCCTGCCACGTACCTTTCTCTAGGTTCTTTCTAAATTAAACCGAACCGGTCATTCCTTGTCTTTCATCCCCTGGCTATTACAGCAACATAAATCACAAAGCATCTTTCTTAAAATGATATTTAAGCTTCAAAGCAGAAAAATATCAACATTCATCACAACACATCAACACATAGAAAAACAGAAGTAGATGTTAAAACGGCAGAACATTATTAAAGGAACAACTCAGAGTAAGTTGAAATGAATGTGTTTTCTATTGTGCTATATATGAAAATATAATGCTAATAAACGCCACTTTCCAGTTATGTGTTTATCTCGGTTCAAATAAGGATTTCTCCTTGCGAAATTTCAACAGTTTTCCTTTGAACATCGTCCGCATTCGTGTTACAGTGTGATGCCGAAAGCGACTGTATTGCGGTGAAAACAACATTAAAAAGCAATAGAAATCACAAGTAAAAATACATTTTGGCCTTTTACCGCTTTTTCATCCTACTAACAATACGAAACACTTACAGTACGAAACACTAACAGTACGAGTAATTATCACAACATTGAATAAGAACTATGGCCATAAATTAATTGATAGAACAAAATGATAGACGCTCAAATTTCAGATGTTACATATCCTGTTCACCCAGCAAACTCCATAATTTATATTTCTGTGTTAATTACGATACCACTGATTTTTCAAGACAGCCATGTGTAGAACGAACACAGTCTCGTCTGAACCAAGCGCGCACACCAACTTGCAGAACACTTGAAACTATAAACGAAAATGACATTCATAGCCACAAATTTTTGTTGTCTTGTTTTGGGGTGGTTTTTTAATATTCTTTTAGGAATAAAGGATGTAATACTAAAATGATTAACGTCAACATATTAAAAACAAATACATCATCAAAATATATCATGTTTCCTGCATAGTGACATATTGAAGTGCAATGAACAAGCAAATGGAAAATGTAATAGTTTGGAAAATTCATAATTTAATGCTAGATGACTTAAATATTTTTTTGTAATACACATCTCCATATTTCCGAGAAAAAAGATTTGGGAGTAAATTAATATAGCTCTATCACAAATCGGCCTTCTCACAACTAAACAAAAAATCTTAATTTGGTTATTTTCTTCATAAAATCACACAATTAGAAGATGTCATATGTGGAATTACGGAATTATTATACACATTTACCTCATATCATTATTATCATACCTAATATCCTTGTTATCTTGACAGAATTAAGGCATTTTGAAGATATGAGTACTTGCTAGAAATATTCAATTCAATAAAAAAAGTTTTATAAGCCATAAAGACGTCTGAGAAGCAGAAATTGAAATTCTGAAATTTTTATATTCTTTCAAGAAACGCAGAATCATTATTGAAAATAGAACAATATGTGTATATACAATGTAGAATGTAGGCAATAGAAATAAATTATTCAAAATTATCTGAACACATGTTAGAATGTAATATTCCTTTTGCTCGCGATGTCACTTGTCTCTTTACAATCAATATCGCCTATGACCCATATTCACCACAATATTTTCGTAGCTATTACAACTTATCGCCAATTTTTTTCAGGTCTCGTCGTTCTGTAATCGCGCCATCGCCCGGTCCCGTCTGACAGGCCCTCCCGCGAACCTCCGCGCAGCCGCCCCCGCGTGGTCTCCGCGCTCCGGCCGCCGAGCGCTTCGCGCGTGCGCACGCGCTTCCCTCCGCCGCGCAGCGAAGCCTTACGCCGGGCGGAGAGTCAATAGACGCGCGCTCTGCAGCCACCGCCGCCGCCAGCCGCCGCCCGCCGCCCCGCGCCTCTAAGGAACGATTTTGAAGCGCGTAGAGCGGCTCGAGGCGAGGAGGTGGAGGAGGAGGGGCGTGGATGTGTGGCGGGCGATTGGTTCGTTACGGGCGGCCCGCCGCGGGGCGCGCGCCGCGGACAGCCCACGGGCCACGACGCCCCGCCTCGCCGCACGCCGCCTCTAAGGCGCTGCGCCGACGAGGGGGGCGAGGCCGGCGTTCTGGCGCGCGGGAGTGGACGTTCGGGGCTTGGCACGAGTCGCCACCCGGCGAGGCGGACGGCGGGGAAACATGCTGGGGGAGGGAGGGGGCGAGGACTCTCAGCCAATTTTACGGGTCGTGAGCCCGCGCGGGGAGGAACACGTTACCTGGGTCGGCGCCCGAGGCGAGCGCCGGCCGCGATTCTTTTAAGGCCGAAGTATGCACGAGACGCCGCGGGATCTGCTCCGCACGGACGTCGTTCGCCGCGGCGCGCACCGGCGACGCGCGGTCGCGCGCGCGACGGCTTGGCGACGGCGCTTCGCGAAGAGCATGACAGTCCGCTGAAATTTAGGTTACTGGCGCTGACACCTGCGCTCGCGACAAAATGACTGGCTATGATTGACGCTCTGTTGTTGTTCTGCCGGTTGGAATGAACCCCACACGCCGCTCTATTTTCGGACGAGTGGTGTCCTCTTCTAATACGGGGGGAACGGATATCTAAGTGGGAAAATTCAGTCATGGATATCTGACAATGGTATCCGACACGGATATCCGACGCGGGTAGCAGGGACCCGCGGTGTATAATGCCAGCCACGGTGTCCGATCACATGTAACAGGTGTACGCAGCAAGGACCGCGGCAGGTATAGGTCGCGCTTCGAGGATCGTCTGTATAGAAGGATACAGGAGATCGGGCAGTCGGTTGCGTTCTGGCGGTTGAAAACGGCACTCCCTGCGTTGAGGCGTGCTGTGTGTGTGGCGTGGTGGTGGTGCTTCAGATCACAAACCGCCGAGCGGGCAGCTGGTATGGAGAATCGCAGCCTACGGAGGGGTGAGAGGGCGAGGGTGCGCCGCTGTTGAGGGCAGGGCGGAGCGGAGGAGAAGCAGGGAAAAAAAATGCGCGCGAGTGGAAGCCGTAAGGCCCGAACCAAATGCGGGGTCGGGTGCGGGGCAGCCGGGGTAAGGGGCAGTCGAGGCCGCCTACGAACGTACGAAGAAGGAAGGAAACGAGTGTGCGGGTTGGGGAAGGGGACGAGGAGGGTTGGAGTGAATGGCGGAGACAGGTTAGGCGCTGTGCGTTGGAGTTGCGGTGCGGACTCACGGCGGCCAACACTCCCACGCAAGCCAGCGCGCAGGCAGAGCACCGCCACCGCGCGCCATCCCCGTCCACGTCCCGCCCGTCCCTCCCCGCCACCGCCGTTCGCCTCGGGGCAGCTGCGCTTGCAACGAATTGCGGAAAAACAAAGGGACCCCTTCCCGGTATCGCGGGCGGAGAAACGCCGAACGGCCCGCTGACTCCGCCTACCGCAGCCACTTCGGATCCGGCGGTGGCTTCCGCCCCGGGCCCGCGACGCCCGGCCCCGCCCAGCCGCACGCCCCGCCCCTCAGCTGACCCGCACAGTGGCACGCCCCAGTGACCCCGCGCAGCGCCCCCGACGCGGGCCCCAGGCCGCCGCGCTGCGTCCCTCCGCCCCGACGCACCCCTTCCAATCGCGAAACAGCCCCGAAACTCTCAGGCTGGCAGACGGTGCCGGAATGC